AATATATCCGCTATTCATATCAGTCAATTATAACTATAAAGATAATATATCCGTCATTCATATCTGTCAATTATAACTATAAAGAAAATATATCCGCTATTCATATCATTCAATTATAACTATAAAGTTAATATATACGTCATTCATATCTGTCAATTATAACTATAAAGAAAATATATCCGCAATTCTTATCTGTCAATTATAACTATAAAGACAACGTATCCGTCATTCATATCTGTCAATTATTGTAGTCTGAGTAGCGATGAAGGCATAGTAAATATAAAATTGAAAAAAAATTTATTAATGGCATGTTTTGTTCATTGATCACCAAGAACGATACGCACGTAGGGAGTGTGATGATACTGGTACGAATCATCCACTGAATGATGACAAGAATTTCAAGCATGGGGATCACAAAATTGAAAGAATAATGATCAGATCAGAAAAAGTTTAAGATCTAGAACTGAGACATCAAGCAGTAACGACTAAACCAAACGTGTCTTATTAGTTGAATGCATTTGTCAGGAAGAAGACAAAATAGGCCTTTCTCGTGTTCTGATATTTTATCCAAAATAAGGAACGAAATTTGTGCCTGTGATACAAAATTTAAATCAGTCACGAACTGTCAACGAATTATTCAAACTGAGGTCAAATCTTCAGATGCGTTTTGCCATATTTGGGAATTACTATAGCCATTCTCTCTAAAATGCTTCACTATATAACCAGGGGAATTTTGTAAGAAATCCAATTTTTTTAAGATTAAACCTGCTTTCCTGTCAATGAAACCAAGAATTAATAAATAAACAACTTTTAGTGAAGTCAAAATATAAGTAGCACATGGGTATCGCAGATTTTCTGTGTATAATTCTGTAGATGTGCAGGTAGTGTGAGGGTTCTGATTCTGGTCTAGACCGCAGAATTGCGAAAGGCACGAATATAATTTTGCTATTCAACAACAACCAGTTAAATAGCAGGGTAGACTGGTCACTCTGGTCTTGGGTGGGCACAATTAGTCTAAGAAAAGGAAAACTCTTCATTACAATCTATGGAAACTCATCAGAAACCCCCTCGACTATCCTTCACATGATAGCATAGCATTCCACACATTATAAAGAAAAGAAATGAGTGGAAAAGCATGATTATCTACACTATGAAAAAGAGTGGCTTTTACAAAATGTAAACACTAGATATTATTACTTTTGACTATTAGCTTCTTCTGTATGTGCCGTGTCCCTTCAGGACATAGACGATGATGTTTCTGCATTTCCTCCTATCAAATAGGTTTTCTCCTTTTGCTACTTCCCCCAGGGCATGTTCTGTCATCCACTTGCTTAAGCCCGCTAAGTATGACATGCGTTGCTTTCGCTTGTCTCTCTTTCTCTCTATTCGATCTGTGAGTTTCAGATTCTCCAAGCCGTCCTTTCTCATTACGTGTCCCAGAAATTTCAGCTGTCTCTTCCTCATGTTAAGTATAAGCTTCCTCATTGTTTCTATCCTCTCCAGAACGTCATCGTTGCTCGGTCCATGATATCCTTAGCATCCTTCTGTAGAACCATACTTCCGTTGCTCTGAGTCTCTTCATCCTCTCTGAGGAGACCGTCCAACATTCGCTGCTATAAAGGAGGACAGATGCCACATAATACCTCAGTATTCTTTTCTTTTTTACCAAAGAAATCCTCCTGTCTCGTAATACCCTGCCTAATTTTTGGAATGCGTCTTTGGCCATCTCAATCCGTCTTCAGATCTCAGCGTGGTCCCAAAACCTGACTATTAGTTATTACTTTGTAAACGCTTATTATCGCAATTTAAGCGTAGATCAAAAATAATAAACAAGTTCCCAATGATGATGGCTACAAAAAATAGTGTAGAATAAATTTAAAAAAAATTGGCGCCGAGAAATGAGGAGTAAGATTTTCTAGGGAAAAAGTTCTAGTTTTGAACTTGCCATCAAATTCATTGTAGCCTTAGCGGTAAGAACAGCTGTTACGGGTAAACATGCGACCAAAGGCAAAAATAAGATGAAGCCGACGAAGACTTACTGTAGGATTAAGTAATTTTTGTTTTGCACTCGAAACTGTTTTCAACTTAACTACATGTGGGAGAAAATAAAACATTCATTGTTGTCTTTCGACCAAACTGTCTTTCCCCAACTGACAAGGTTCCATTGCCCCATCGAGTCAATCACTAATTGATTCAGCTTTTAGTGATTCATTAACTCAAGAAGCAATCAAAGTTCAAAATTCCCAAGAGGTTTTAAGCCGGCTTCCAACCTAGTCTCACTTTTTGGAACACGGTGATTCAGTTGTTTTCTTCCCTATGTCGTTGTTGATAGGGTTTTTAATTTCTTTCTTTCTTTTTTGTGTTTGTACAGAGGAAAAAGACAATTTTAATGTGTAATATGATCCCTTGGTGGTTTTTATTAGATTTTTAATACTTAATTCTAATAAGGTGACATAATTGTTCAGTCTTAAGAACTGACTGAACAATTAAGTCAGGGGTACTTCAATATGATGTAATGGTTAGCAAGATTAATTACGACCAAGAAGTGAGTTCGATCCTCACTGAATGTTCCAGACTCTCGACCTAGTACCACATCTAAGCTATGCTTAGAAAATCACCCCAAGAAATAGTCAGTATTTAAAGCAGATTGTTTAGATAGGCAGTTGGACATTTACAATTTTAACTTTCTCTTTCTGATGTGACGTATAAGTGTCCTTTTTGTTTCCATTTTCTCTAAACGTAATTGTTGCTCCCATGTTCAGTCCATGGTACCCTCAGCGTATGTTTAAATTCGTAAAGGCGCAGTACCAATGCAAAAACGTCATAAATATCTGTAACAGTATCATTGTACCGACTAATGAAAAAACGATTCTCTCAAAATGTTATTCAACTCCAGATTGCCGGCCTTAAATTCTCGTTTGCGATGTCTGCCAGGGACTGGTCATCAATTCTTCCTGTAGATGTGGCCAACGCATGTCCATACAGATGCAAAAGGGGCCCCGAGTCGCGTACAGACATGTCTGTCAACTCTCTTTACATCCAGTTTTTCCACGATAGCAACAGAATTGTTTGGTATGTCTAGATGCGGGTTTCTCTGCAACTGGTCAAGATCCGGGTCTTTGTATGCCGTTCCATGCCAATAAAAGCATCAGTAAAACGAGTTGGTAACACTAAATATCTTGTGAAGTCGGTTCCGTAGGCATTTTCTTCCTAAAGTTGATGTGTCGCCCGAGGCAGTGCTATTTTGTTTTCCCGCGTACCTCTTGGGAGAGCAATCGTTTAGGTGTTTCATCCAACCTCAATACACCCTTGCCGTATTTTACAAAGATAGGTTTCGTTTTAAATATTTATCCATTACCACGCTTGCCTGGGAAAACATGCAAAGGCAACCAATGACATCCCTTAACCCTTTGAACCGTGACCACCGCTTTACCGGTAGTTGGGAAAAATGACGTAATTCCCAGCCACCGGTAGAACAGTGATAGAGAAAATTACTTAATGACCAGCCCGCGGTTGAACGGTCGGTAAACACTTATTACTACCGTAATTCCCCATGTGTAATACGCTTTTTTTCTAATTAAAAAAAAATAGGGGTGCGTATTATGCACAGCTACAAAAATATCTTAAAAATTGTCGTTTCATAGGTCGATTTCAGTTGCGAAATGACTACTCACCACAAACATACGGCAATTTTACACCAACATTCGGAGATTACGACCCTATAAGGATGTCAAATACAATCATATGTACCAAATAATACTTACAAATGTAAAATAAAATAAGAATTATCATAAAATTAAATTAGAATAATATTATTCTATGTTTAAAACCATTTTTTAATAAAAGTAGTAAACGCTGGCCGTAAGAAAATTGGATAGGTACAATTTATAGGGTTTAATTACCAAACAAGGGGTGCGTAATATACGTGGGTAGAAACATTTTCAGCCCAATTTTAGGGGTATGTATTATGGATGAAAGCGTGTTATACGTGGGGAATTACGGTATTTTTATATCTACCGTCAAACATTACATACCAATTATTTGCGAACTTTGACTGAGAAGCTCAGGCAGAAGGGTTAAAATTGTTCAGGAACGCATGGCTACAAATGGCTATGGTGGCTAGGAGATATGTCAGAACAACCCATCTATTTATGTAACTTCTCGGATTTCATAGTGATCTTGGGTAAAATACATTCAACATAATTTTAATGTGTCTATTCAGAACAAGCATCAAAAACACCATTTTTCCTTTAAGATGTCGTCCCCGTCACCATTTAATTTTGCTGATCTAATGTGAACTGTTGCATTGAACATTACAATAAGCAGCTCTGATGTCTATTTTTTTTTTTTTAAATTTCTATTTTCAAACATTTTTCTTGTTACTGGGAAAATTTCAATATATATATATGCACGTGTACAAAGTGAAAAAGAAATACAGGAAAAACCTTTATTTATTTTTCTTGTAATAAATCAGTATTGCGGCTTGTGTTTTAATATAAAATTGAAGTAAAAAGATTCTAATTTCTAATCGTCTTCCTTGCTAGTAAATGCAAATTCTACATTTTAAGTTCCCATGGGAATCAGTATAAAAAATTAGCAAAAGTCTCCTGCATTTTTCCGAACGGCAATTTTTTCGGTGCTGTGAAATTCAAAATATTATCTTTCCTAATCTCAATAGAATTCTCAGACGGACTTAATTATTTCTGATTTGTTAAAATGGTGTCCAGTTCAGAAGTCTTTTTCGACAGACTTACATATGTACTGTAAGAGGAGATAACTATGGTATGTCAAACATGTCCTGTGTTTGTCGTTAATCGGAAATCGTTTTAGTCAGTCTTGATTGAACAAACTGAATTCGTCGGCGGAAGACTTGCAACAATCCCCACGAGTTGAAATTAAAGAAAAAAGTTAAATAGATAAATATACTGAAATTATGTCGATTCTGTATGAAGTTTTCGCTGTTCAATTTCGTATACCTCTATAGAAATGTGTTTACATAAATGACAAATGTAGTTCCATCTATCTGTCTATCTATCTATCTATCTATCTATCTATGTATTTTCGACTCTTCGCATCTATCAATCTCCGTCTGTTTATATCAATCTTCAGCTGTTCGCATCTATCAATCTCTGTTCACATCTATCTTTCTATCTATCTCAGTCTGTTCACAAGTATCTATCTATCTATCTATCTATCTCAATGGGTTCATTATCTATCTATCTATCTATCTATCTATCTATCTTTCTATCAAAGAATCTTACCCTCAGTCTTTCCTTGATTGTCTATCTCCGTATATTTCACGCTATCTATATTCGTCTATTTCACTCTAACGTATTTCCTGTCTGTTTTTTTAGCTCATTGTATTTCTATCTAAGTCTGTCTTTCAGTCTTTCTATTTCCGTCTATTTTACTTTGTATAGATCTGTCTATTTCACTCTAACGTATTTCCTTTCTATCTATCTATCTATCTATCTATCTATCTATCTATCTATCTATCTATCTATCGAGGACTTTCATACTTCGGGTCTCGTGGAATACCGGTACAGAATCCCCAAGAACCAAATAAAAGAAGCCTCATCGCTTGAAGACTTCCGACAGCGGCGACAATTGAACGGATAATACAGTTTGTTCGCATTTTAGAGGACCGTGTGTGTATTTACATGCTGCTGTATTAGAAACACGCGTGTAACTCATGGTAGAATATTAAAAGCGCCAACTACAAGAAAATTGCCGGACTCAAGTTAAGTCCAACTGTTTAAGACAAACAAACAAGACCAATATATATATATATATATATATATATATATATATATTAAACAAAAAAAATTTTACAATGGACATAGACAGTTAACATTGTGTTTGTATGTGAACATTTGTGCTTTCTTGTTCTTTGGTGAATGTTCATACGTACGTGTATGTTTGTAATGTTCATAGCGTCTTCCCAGAAATGGGAAACGTTGTCTTTTGTGAGAGCTCACATAGTAGCGGTGTTCGCTGAAATGAAGAAAATGAAGATGATTTACCTCACCTCCACGCGAGGTAGGATGTGGCACGAGTCCTGAAGGAAAAAGAGGACGAGGTGAGAAGTTGCCTAGTATTTATAGTATACGGAGAATGACCCCTAGTAACAATTAGGGAAGTAAAGAGCAGCTAACTCCGACAACATCTATCTATCTATGTATTTTCGACTCTTCGCATCTATTAATCTCCGTTTATATCTATCTTCAGCTGTTCGCATCTATCAATCTGTGTTCATATCTATCTTTCTATCTATCTCTGTTCACAAGTATCTATCTATCGATCTAGCCATCTCAGTCTGTTCGCATCTATCTATCTATCTATCTATCTATCTCAGTCTGTTCGCATCTATCTATCTATCTATCTATCTATCTATGTATTTTCGACTCTTCTCGATCTGTTTATATCTCTCTTCAGCTGTTCGCATCTATCAATCTCTGTTCATATCTAACTATCCTTCTATCTATCTCAGTCAGTTCACATCTATCTATCTATCTATCTATCTATCTATCTATCTATCTCTATTTATTTATCTAGCTTTCTATCTATCTCGGTTCATACCTAATTTATATGCCTATATCTAATGTATTTTTTCTTTCGCAGCACTAAATTTCCTTGTGCTAGTAATTTCAACTCTCTTCCTGATGTTGAGTATAATTTTCTTTTTTGTTTCCATTTTCTCTAAAACTTGGTCATTGCTCACAAGTTCAACCTTGATATTCTCAGCATCCTTCTGTAGAACCACATTTCTGTTGTTTCAAGTCTTTTTAATCTATCCTGCATTCATGGCCATGTAGGAGGATTGATATTACATAACAGTTTAATACTCTTTTCTTTGTTTCAAACGATTCTTTTTTCATTTTCTTATTACATTGCTTAGCCTTTAGAAGGCATCTTTCACTGTCCCAATGCGCCTTCGCATTTCAGTGTCGTACTTCCCAGATATTCAAATTGTTGTACTTGTTGGATTTTAGTATCTCTAGTTTGTAATTTGCATGTTGGACTCTCCTTTTTTATAACAATTATGCATTCTGATATGGTGCATCGAAAATTCAAATTTTACTCGATCTGTAGTGCTATATTTACAGAAAACAGTTTCATACAAACATTATTATTACACGGTCATAGTATGTCTAAAAATTTTAATAGCGTCACGACGAGGCTTTATTTTCTCACAATGTAATTTAAAAGTAACGTTTGTCAAAAGTGACCAGGAATATAAAGCACACAGAATAAAAATTTAAGGGAGCCATCACAGCCTTTTGCAAGGCATCTACCACAGTTCCAACGCCCCTTCGGATTTCACTGCCTCTTCCGAGGTATTTAAATTGTTCCACCTGTTTGAGTTTGGTATCTCCAATTTGTAATTCGGATATTAGTTTGCTCCTTTTACTAACAACCATGCATTTTGTTTTCTTGCAATTGATGCTTAGTCCTTTCTTCTTGCTTTCCTTCACTACCTTCCGTAGCAGTTTTGCAGGTTCCTTTCTTTGTCTGCTATCAACAGTTTTTATCTGGATATTTTACATTATTAAAATTGTGGCTGCCAATAATGAATCATAGTAAGACTTCTAATTCTCTCATAATCGCCTCACTTTATCGGTTGAATAAATCCGGTGAGAAGATACCTCCTTGTCTTACACTCTTTTCTATTTTTGTATAGTTACTTCACTCGTGTCCCATCTGAGTGTAGGTGATTTTACTGCCAATATAAATCTTCAAAAATTCAAATACAACAACAACTGTCATCGTTTGTCTCCACGAACTCTGTTCTTTTATTGTCCTCGCTTCTTAATAATGTTTTCTTCAGTTTCTTCACTTTCAGTAATCCTTTGCGTCTTTGCGTCTTAGGGGCTTTATCACCTTGTTTGGGTAAAAATGATTAAAAATTCAAAATAAATTTGAGGAGAAGAATATTGACCACAAGCACATTAAGCTGCAAGTTTTTTAAAATAAATATATACGGTATTTTTTCTTTTAGACATTCTTTGTAGAAAAGTCCATTCATTAACATTGAGAGCTTTAAGTCGACTATAGAACTCATTAAAAAGGCGATTCAAAAATGTTGTTTTTAATCACTGAATCATTTGGACGAGAGAGAGAGAAAAAAGAATTATTCTTTTATTTCTGCATCATTGATAGCACTTCAGCGTTAAACACATTTAATCAAAGTGTTTGACATGAGAGAAAAAGAAAAAGAACCAGAAGTGCCTGACGATATTGTTCATTGTGTCAAGGGTTCCATAATGTTTCAGAAGCAATATTGTAACTGAAAAGAGATAAAATAACCTGTCCCAAAATTCATTGGAGTGGAAGTCATTTAGTAAATTTCTTTACGAGTAAAAAAAAAAAAAATAAGTGAAAGGCAAATGAGAAGCGTATAATTAATGAGGTTTTCTAATTAATGCTGAACACTCAATGGGCACATTATGAAATAATGAATTTCTTTTTCGACAGAGAGACGAGGAGAAATAATGAAGATAATTATTAACGTTGTTATTAGATTAACAGTGTTTCATGTTTACAGATTACTTTTGTTAACGTTGCTATTTAAGCAAGATATGAAAAAATGTCCCTACTCCCGAATAAGTGGCACGCGATCTGGACGCAAATGATAGCTGAAAACTTAATATTAATGAAGAAAAAGTGCGGCATTTCTAACAGAAGACATGAGAAAGTTTGGTTTGATTCGCTTTACGACATATTAACCTCAATGGGTTATTTAATGCTGACAATATTTTTTTTTTTTAAATATATAGTTGCTAATATTTTTTCCTTCAAAAATCTATCGCTGGTAATAATTATTTTTCTTCAAAAATTCATTGCTGGTAATATTTTTTTTACAAAAATATATTGCTGATATTAAAACCTATTTTTATACTTTCATGGTGTTTTGACCCCAGTTAACTATTTGTCCATAGCTGGGTCCCTAACAGGTGCTACCACCCAGGTCAGGGTGAACCTGGGAATAACAGCAATTACGAGTTGGTTCCACGCTCCTCAAAACCTCCTGCTGTTGGATGTAGTTTATCGTCTTACCCAGAACGCCGATGTAGTTTATCGTGATATCCAGGCCGAGGAAGATTTGGAAAAGAAATGAAACATGAGCTACTACGTATGTTCATAATGCATCGTTTACGTGTTTTCAGTTGCAATATTGTCTCTGAAATGTTTACCTTCCATCAGTATGGCTGATGCTAACCGCCAGAAGAGTTACTGAATGTGCCATCTCGGACTAACGTTTTTAGCTGACATGAAGTGTAATTGAATCAATTGCTAGTTCTACAGCTAGGAATATTGGTTCAATACGTCGTGCTAGAATTTTCTCGCTAGAATCTCTCTTACAGATTTATAACTCCATTATTTTGCCTTGTTTTGAATATTGCACCCACACCTGGTCTGATGCTCCTGTTATATATTTGGAGATGAAATCCAAAGAATCTGCAATGTTATTTGTCCTGACCTGGCATCTTGGTTTCAGTCGCTTTCCCAACGCTGTAAAGTAGCTTCCCCTGTGCATTTTTTTTATAAATAATTTTTAAAGTTCCTGATGAACTTTTCACTATGGTACCTAATTTAAGCGCAGTACTAGGCTGTCTCATCATTTTACTGTTCAAATGGCTAGATATAGCCGAAAGTTCTATGCTAACAGTTTCTTCCTTTGTAAAATTCTCTTCCGGCTTGCTTCCCAGTCAACATTGATCATTAAAATTTTAAATGTCAATCGTTATCTTAATTTTTGTTCTTTGTTCTCTCTCCTTAATAGACTTTTTTTCTAATATTCTATAACCCTTTGCGTCTTAGTGGCTTTATTGTCTTCATTGGTGGGAAATAATCTTCCTGGCTACGAAATAAACTACAAAGATGAGACATTCATTTTGTTTAGCAGATTTATTCCCGTTAAATTCCAGCCGGGTTTGTTACGTTTGGAAACGTATGAATTCATTTCTTCCTCCCGGCCTCCTGATTAAGACGATTAACTAAATCTGGCGTTCTGTGTAAGACGATAAACTACATCCGCGTTCTGGGTAAGACGATAAACTACATCCAACAGCAAGGCCTCTGATAAGGAAGTTTTGAAGAGCGTGGAACCAGCTCTTAATTGCTGGTGTTTAAATTTTTAAGTCTTTACTAGTGAATGCAGTATCGTTGTCGGTCAGTATTTCCATGGGTGGGCCTCGCTCCAGGAAAACATTCTCCAACAGTCGAATGACGGTGGTCGCATCTTGTCGGCGCAGCGGCCGCCATACCGCAAACCTAGAGGGACCGCAATCAATAAAAAAATTCTCACCATTGTGGTGAGTTATGTCCATCGCTAGTCTGCTCTAGTTGATCTTTACGCTCAGTTCTCCTCTTTCCCTTGAACAGGTGCCGGATCGATCGACTGACAGGTTGTGCAGGCCTTCACAACGGATTTAACACTTTCTCTGAACATTGCTGGTCGACTAACCTGGCGAATTAAGAGTTCGTTTCACACCCGGATGTCCGCTTTGACGATGGGTATTGGCCACCTGGTCCTCGTCCAGTCGTCTCCCTACCATTGCTCAGCTCTCGTGCGTCGGTTCCCCTCTCTTGACCATATCTAGCTACCTGCGCGGTACTCTGGTGAGGCGATCCGCACGGTTCTGACAGGACTGTACGAGTGTCACGTCTATGGTCAGTCTATATTCTTCCACCAGCGATCGCATAATGCCCAGCCGTCGCCTAATCGGCATCTCGTCAGCCGCCCTTGTGTTCACCCGTGCCTTCCCGATCAAGGTGTCGGAAAACCACCGGTGCACACACACCGAATCAGTAACCATTGCAATGTTGTCGCCTCCCGCTGAAGGGCTAGATTGAATCCTTTAAGCGCCGCATCGAGTTCAGCTAAATTAATATGCCTGGCATCATTAGTCGGACGCAGCCAACACGCATCTTCGATGATATTTCCGTTCGCTTCCAATGTCATTCGCATCCACCCAGACTATGGTCTCGTCACCACCCATGCACCATCTCCTCCAACGGGATTCAGTTCCCGTACTCTACTTAGCATCTCCGCTAGTATGCGACAGAGCGAGGGATCTTTCATGTTATCATCCCATCCATTGGTTGCTGCAGTTGCCAGGCGCTTAACGAATGCAACTGCCACCCTGAGCCATCCACACAGGGGGAAATGTCCAACAAGTTTCCCACACAACGAAAATACGCGCCGACGGGTCAACACATCAGGGACTTCCGGAATCTGACTTCCTCGTTTCCGTCAGAGGGTACCATTCTCTTCCCAGACTTGCAAACCAAGAACTCTTGCTCCATCTCTCAGTCGCACCGGAAGAAATGTAAGAAGAATTCTCTTTGTTTCGTCAAAAATGTCTGCGAGAAACTCAATATACAGGGCCTCCCCAAAAATTTGACTTCGTTTCGCAGGTCAATAATTTTGGTAATTCTTGCTGAAATAGCTTCAAATTTCCACAGAATTTATAGAAATAGATAAAGATTTTATATTTAATGGAAGAGGACATTACGTGTGTATCTCAATGAAAACATACCAGAGAAATACA